GGCTTAGTAAAGCTATGCTTTCTTTTGGGTATATTCAGAGCTATGCTAATCATACTTTGTTCATTAAACATCATGAAGGTAAGATCACATTGCTTATTGTTTATGTTGATGATATAATGATGATTGGAAATAATAAAGAAGAAATGACCCACTTGAGAAATTTGTTAGCCAGGGAGTTTGAGATTAAGGATTTGGGAAAGTTGAGATATTTCCTTGGGATAGAAGTTGCTAGGTCAGAAAAAAGGATTTTTATTTCTCTATTTCTCAGAGAAAGTACAATCCTTGATCTTCCTAAAAGAAACTGGTAATGTTGGGAATGTAAACCTTTCAGTAATCACCTATTGAAGCCAATCATTAGCTTTTTTCAAGCTGTGAGTGGGCAAGTTCAAGTTTGATGTTGCAGTATCAGAGATTTGGTCGGAGGTTGATTTACCTTGCCCATATCTAAGAACGCAAATTATTACATAATGCTGTAAGTTTAGTGAGTCAGTACAAATGCATGACCCTCGGGAGTCTCACTTAGAAGCAGTGCATCGGATTCTAAGATAATAAAATCAGCGCCAGGGTAGAAGAACTTATTTTCCTAAAAATGGCGCATTTAACAATAACAGGCTATACCATATGCGGATTGGGCTGGTTCCCTTGATGACAGGAGATCAACCTCAAGTTATTGTGTTTTGTTGGAGGAAACCTGGTCACATGGAGAAGCGCAAGAAGCAGGCTGTTGTTGCAAGGTCCAATGCAGAAGCTGAATATAGAGCTATGGCACAAGGAATCTATGAACTTCTATGGTTGCGCAGATTAATGGAAGAGTTCAAGTTGGTTGAAACAACAAAAATATCATTGTTTTGTGATAGTAAAGCAGCCATCAGCATTATGAACAATCCAGTCCAGCATGATCGAACTAAGCACATAGAGATTGATCGTCACTTTATATAAAAGAGAAGATAGTTGAAGGTTTTATAAGTGTCTCCTATATAGCTTCAAAAGAGCAACTAGCTAATGTTTTCACAAAGGGTTTGCATAGCAAGGTTTGCATAGCAAGTTGTTTTCATCTTTAGTTTGCAAGTTTGGGGCAATGGTTCATCCTTTAGTTTGCAAGTTGGGCATGAGTAATATCTATGCACCAACTTGAGGGGGAGTGTTGAAATCTTTGTGATTGAAGTAAATATTGTATTTCTTAGTTTAGATTTATTCCTAATTAGCGTAAATATTGTGTTTCCTAGTTTAGGTTTACTCCTATTTAGATTACAACCTATATTGAGATTACAACCTATATTGGAACAATATTTGGTATATATATGGTGGAGTAGAGGTTGAAAAAGATAATACAATAGAAAGAACAACATATTCTTTCCTTTAATTTCTTCAGCTTGTTTATCACTTAACAGCAAATCTTTTAAGATTTTCAAAAATTTTTACCAAAACTATTTTCTTTCAAAATCCTTTGTTCCCCTATTTTATACTTTGCTTACTTCTTGCTATTAGTTGAACAAAGCAGAAATGGTAACAAAGAATCATATAGCCAACCCCAATCAATTTGGGAGTGACGCTTATTTCTTGTTTAATTGATGGCCACTATCTTGAGAATTTATCACTAAATTTTGTACTCCCTTGTCAATTAATTCAAGCACTGGTATACCTTTCGTATTTCACATTCTTGACCGTAATTTATTGATGATCAAATGCCTATAGATAAATTGTTGAAGAATTCCACTTTACCTTTTCTATGACTGTCATACTGCTTTTCATCATCCCCCACCCATCCCCACCCACCCCCCCCCCCCCCCCCCCTCTTTCCCATTCTTTCTTTTCTCTAATTATCCTCCTTTATTTATCTATTTATTCATGTGCATGGTAACTTTCAAGCATCTTTTATTAAAGCTTAGCAAGAGCTAAAATTCACTAGGATTCTTACACACAGTACAGATACATGTGCACAGACAACATTGATGGGAAGTCACCAAGCACCTGCATCATAATCTCATAATGCGTTAAGCACAGTTAGCAAGGACAAGGATATCCACTTATGAGCTGATTGATTACAAAGCTAGTTCAAAAAAAAAGTTGCCCCCCCCCCCCCCCCCCTCCCCCCAACCTCCTCTCGTTTTTTAAAATTATTCTCCTTTATTTATCTATTTAATCATGTGCATGCTAACTTTCAAGCATCTTTTATTAAAAGCTTAGCAAGAGTTAAACCTAGTTGTGACTAAAGACCTTTAAGATTCACTGGGATTCTTACACACGATAGAGATACATGTCCACAGAAAACATTGATGGCAGGTTAACATCTACCAAGCACCTGCATCATAATCTCATAATGCATTAAGCACACTTAGCAAGGTCACCAAGCACCTGCATCATAATCTCATAATGCATTAAGCACACTTAGCAAGGTCAAACACATCCGCATGTGAGCTGATCGATTACAAAGCTAGTTCAAAAAAAAAGTCGCTGCATATACATGAAAAGATTGAACAGTACAGTCTCTTTTGTTAAGAGCTCATTATCACCACGACACAGTAACAATTTTCTTTGTTTGTGACATCTGAAACTTATTATCCAGACTGAGGAATCCAATCATGGAACTCATTAGTTGCTTGCTGTCACAAGTTTATTTTTATTTAACAATCATTTTATTCTTTTTTTTCTGTTAGGTACCGGCTGTATTAGGGTAGTTTTATTGCTGTAGTTAGGGTAGGTTTACTATTGTATCTACGTTAGTTTTATTTATTCAGCTTATCATGTTTTTATTAGTTTCTTTGTTAGTGGGTAGTGGGGTGGTTAAGCAAGTCTTTATAGTATTGTGTAGTTATCAATTTTTTTGCTTTGCATTCAATTGTTTAAAAGGATGTGCATTAATGAAAGAAGTAAGGAGAATTTTAACCAAAGGTTTGAGCCCCAAAAAATAAAGATTATGGATTCTCTCTAAATGAGCTCTAAGAGATCATAGGGTTCTCTCTTAACGAGCCCTTAAATGAGCAACTGTAGTTAGGAAAGGAAGGAATTCCAACAAATTCAGATTTCTATCTAATACAAAACCTGATTTTTTTTGTTAATCAACGCCAAACCAGATAACAAAGTCGCACCATAACAACTTGGTATCAGAGCCAATGGTTATGGTGGATTCACAAGAATTACAAAAGCAATTTTAAGCCTTCATGGTTATGGATAAAGCAGAGAAGAGAAGGAAAATGCAGAAAGGGCAAAACAAAAAGGCAGAGGCAAAAAGATAGGATTTCCATAGAAACATTATCAACCTAATTTCAGGAACTGGAACGAGAATTGCGTGTGTCAAAAGAAAAGGGAAAGGAATTGCAACTTCAAGTCCCTGTTCTTTTCGGCACAATGAACCATGAGTAGCAAAGGAGAATGGGGAGATGGGAAATTATATGCCTCAGTATTCCAAAATAAAATTTTCTAAGTATGATGGGTCTCATGATCTCTTGGCATAGCTCAGTCGTCGTGAATTAAAATTCTGTCACCAGAACATTTCCGGGAAGGTTGTTGCCAATTTATTTAGGAGATGCACAAGTGTGGTTTATTAAGTTGTATAAAGACAGACCTGGCCTTACTTGGAATGAGTTCAAACATCAATGCAATAGAAGATTTGGACCTTCGGTGCATGGCAATAAACTGGGAGAATTGGCCAAGGTTCGACAAACAGAACGGTGGAAGAGTGTCAATGGAAATTTGAACAGCCATCAACTAGATATTCTAACCTTACTGCTGAACAAGATGTCAAGATTTTCCTTAGTGGCTTACAAGACTATATTGGAATTGAGGTGGAATCACAGAACCCAAGAGATTTAACAACAGTGATGAATTTCGCTCATCTGTATGAGAAGAGAAGCATCCAGGAAAATCTAGTAGTCTGCTTAAGCAGAAAATTGTTGATACACACCATCACAAATAGTTACTCCTTCAGAATCTCCCTTCTAGTAGAGTGGAGATGGAATACCGTCGGGTTGGAGGCTTTTGCTATAACTGTGGGGAGAGTAACGTTCCAGACCTGCTGCATTAGGATAGTTCTATTGCTGTATCTAAGGTAGTTTTACTGCTGTATCTAGATTAGTTTTACCTCTCTTTTTATTATCTTTCTATGTTGCAAGGGAAAGGTCTATCAGCAGTTCCAGAAGTTGCTAGAAGCAAATTCCCCTTGTTGAAAAGAGGTTACCTGTTGAGAGAGTAGCTGTTCTTGCTTGCTCCTAAAGGACGAACAAGCTTGACTTGCTCTGCTTGGATTGCTACCAAAGCTAGTTATTCAGTTTTTATCATGTTTTTATTACTTTCTTTGTTAGTGGGCATCAGTGAGGTGGTTTAGCAAGTCTTGAGTGTAGTAGGTAGTTATTAATCTTTTGCGTTGGATTCAATTGTTTAAAAGGATGTGCATTAATGAAAGAATAGGCAGAATTTTAAACAAAGGTTTGAGTCCTAAAACTCAGAGATCGAACGGTTCTCCCTTAACAAGCTCTAAGAGATCATAGAATTCTCTCTTAACAAGCCCTTAAATCAGCAACCGCAGGTAGAAAAGGAATTCAAACAAATTCAAATTTCTATCTAATACAGAATCTATTTTTGTGTTAGTCAAAACCAAACCAGATCACAAACTCAGGACCATAACAATTTCCTTCATTTTTCTAAATTCAATAGAAGCAAGAACAGGATAATGATCTATTCTAGGTCTTATATCCTTGTAGAAAAGAGAGGGCATGTCTATTATTGGAGTATCCATATGCCTTCTCCCTTCCAATACATCTTATTTGTAAATTCCAGAACTAATAGAAAATTGCTATACTCCAGTCTCCACTGCATTCTTTTCACTGTTAGCAATCAAATTGACTAAGCCGATACCAACTACATATATATTAGCAATCAAATTGACTAAGCCGATACCACTACATATATATATATATATATATATATTATATATAAAGAAAATTTAAAAAGAAAATGGCTAATGAAATTTCAAAGAGAGGTAAAATATTAGTGAAGTATACTTGAACTCTGGAACTGAAAGAAGTTGCAATGGTACTTGTCCAGTTAAATCATTGGATGAAAGATCCCTGTCAAATGAAGAGATTCACAAGTAACATAAATAGTCAACTAGTCCAAAAGCACAAAGGTGAAAAAGAAAAGGCAAATTGAGAAATAAGACATGGAAATAAAGGCACCATTTTAAAAATTTTGCCTCTACCAAGGCTAGAAAATTGAAAAAGAGATTCCTTAAAGTGAGTCAATCCTAAAATAATTTTCTTTTGAACCCAAACTTATCGAAATAGGATGTTTATAATTGATATCATGCACCACAATTAAAATCAGTAACATAATTATTCCACTGATTCAACAAACTTAAAAAAAAAAAAAAAAAAAAAAAAAAAAAAAAAAAAAAAAAAAAATAAAAAGCACATCTGGTTCTACAATAAATAAGACAGCATTTTGTGGATAAATAGTAAGTACAACCAATAACCATAAAAAAAAAAAAAAAAAAAAAAAAAAAAAAAAAAATGAAAAAGCACATCTGTCTACAATAAATAAGACAGCATTTGTGGAATAAATAGTAGTACAACCAATAACCATAACCCAAAGCCACATGAAACCTCTAAATGTAAAATTTCTTAGTAGAACAACCAATAACAAAATTAATCAATATGAAAAAGTGGAATGAGAAAAGCAAAGAAAGTTATGGTCAAGAAACCTTAAATTGAACTACACATGATTATGTTCCTTCATGCATAAATAAAGAAATAAAAGAAGACTCTTCGAGATAAAATAAGACTTACAAATGCTTTAAGTTGGATAGCTGGGCCCACGAGATTGGTATAGAACCATTGAATTTATTATTTGCAAGATTCAGATTTTCTAGCAGTTCCATGTTTCCAAGATAATCTGGTAATGGGCCCGATAGATTATTGTTCTGTAGTTCCCTGTATGGAATAGAATAATTCCTTTAAAATGAGAACACAGTATGAGGAATAAAGATGGAAAAGAAGGAAGAATAACAAGAAGAAGAGTACGTTACATATCCTTGTCCAACTTTAAGGTCACTTTCATTCTCATCCTTTTCATTGCAGCAATCCTATTCCTAGATACTAATGGTGAGAAGTTCTACATCTGTTTTCACATGTTTGCCAAATGGACGAAAGTGCTACTAAGCTTTTATGTGAATAGGTGATGTCGCAAGAAAATTCCTGTGACTCTCTGTCTCTCACAAGACTCAAAGCCACCCCAGACATTCTGCCTCCCTAAACCTTCTCTCCCCCTTTAGTTAACCTCTTTAGCATAGAATCCAAAATAATATTACAAGTCCCAAACCCTCAAGTAAATTATTATCTTCATTATTTCGATTTTTCCTTCCTTTGTCCTCTCTATCCTTCTACACCCTATCCTTGCAAAATGATAAAACTTCAGGTCACTAAATTTTGTTACCTTTGCTCCACCATTTTAAAATTTGATTTGCTTCCTCAATCATACTATTTACTCAATCTTCAAGAACTCTTTCCACCCCGCACTGGAAATCCATCTTAAAATTTCTCTAGTCCAAACTTAAACCATAGGAAGCTCTTTTGAAATAACATTTCTAGCCTAATGTTGCTGAAAGCATTTTCCTCATCTCTTTGTTTCCATATATCTGTCATCATGCATGTAGTGCAAGTTTATCCATCAAGAATGCCAACTTACAAGCTAACCAAGAACTTCAGTTTCATAATTGCAGGTGAAAGAGTTCCTGAAAAGCCAATTGAAGCCAAGCTCCTGCAAATTAGTACATTCACAAAGTAAATGTACTGGAACAGGACAGACAGAAAATACTAATGAAAGAACTATTACTCAAGCAATATTCAAATTACAGTGCAGTATATCAGCAATCCAACCATTCCCCTTAAAATAACAGAAGCAGTTGCCAAATGGATGCACTTACAGGGAGGTGACACTTCCATTTCTGCAAGTGATATGAGACCAACTAAAGCAAGGGCTCACCAAATAATAATTCCAATCTTTTATTTGACCATGGGAATCATTAAGAGCCTTTAGAAGCTCAACTAAAGCTTCACCTACACATTAGTAAAAGTAAAAACTAATCATTAACAAGGTGCAAACTATCTTGCTGCAGCCATCCATAATCAAGCCAATGCCTCCAAAATCAAAATTTAAAGGAAAAAAGAAGTGGTATTACAAGTAAAATGTGATGGAAAATCATAGAGCATGTGAAAAGAGTGTCTGTTTTTGGCTCACATATCACGGAAAGCCAAAAACCCATTACATTTTCCTTCCTTGACCTTGATGAAAGATCAGGAGGATGCACAAATGAAACATTACAGAATAATTATGATAATCACTAAAACAAGTGTAAAAATATATTTAAAAAACTAACAATAAAACTATATTACATGAATTACACAACTTAATGATTTACCATATGAGGGGTTAATTTTAGCCATCATCCGGGAACTAGGGGCATAGCACTAGACAGCTGATGTGGCTCTCTGGATAGTCAATAAATCATTTTCTAAAGTCATGTTAGCTGCTATACTCAGCTTAAAAACCTTCTCTCTCCTATCTCCTCCTTGTCTATTCCCAAATTGAGCCAATTTTGGATATTGAATGGATAGGAAAAAAAGACGCAAAAGCCCCTTCCTTGGAATTTGCAGCTCCAAAACCCATGCTCCCCATTATCACAATGCTCAAACCCAACCACTCCACCTCCAAACAGATCCAATAACAAGTTATTTATCTCTGATATGTCTTCTTTGCCCCTCTCTTTTTCTCTCCCCAGCTTCTTTTTCAAACATTAGACATACAGTGATGTGAAAACTTTTCTATTACAACTTGCAGTTTTGCACGGTTCAGAAACTTGGTTATGGGAATTGGGATGAGTTAAAGGCTGCATTTGGTACATCACCTTTATTCCATTTTGACTGGTTTGTGAAGTCTCGCACAACTCAAGGACTAGCAAGGAGATGTGATACCCTAATTGGTTGGTTTTCGTCTTGATCGTTTAACTATGGAAATGTTTCCATTGGTTGGTTCAAGAGACATATATGGTGGAAAATGCGAATTTAAGAGGGAGTTAAAGATATTTGTATCCTTTCAAAAGCCATTTAACAGAAAAAGTTGAATTTTTTTTATGAAAAGACAATAATGTAAAATAGTAAAAAAGATAGGGATTAAGTAATGTATTTTAAAAAATACGGGGACAGAGTAGTTAATTTTGGCATAATATGGGGACACGTTTATAATTTTTCCAAGAAAAAAAGGATAAGTACGCTAAAGTGCTATACCCCTAAGTTCAGGCATGATGGCTGCAATTAACCCTAATAATACCCAAAGACAAATAGAACTTCCAACATACTATTTGTGCTATGAGGTTGTCCGTTGATTTGCTTGAATACCGAGTAAATAGATCAAACAACTAGATCTTCATAAGCAAGTAAGCAACTTTCATGTCTTAGATTTGTCACATAGGTTGCACACTAGAAAAGACGACCCAGTGCACAAAGCATCTCACATGTGTGGGCCCTAGGGAGGGTTGATATATAAATACTCTTGTCCAGGCAAGTTTACAAGTCTAGTAATAAATATAGCATTCGAAATGATAATTTTTTCCATTAAATACCATATGGTATTTTATATGCATGGCAAACTTTGTCAATTAATCAGAAATATGACAGATAATTTTCTTTTTTTTTTTTTTTCAAAATCTTGAAAAATTTAATGAAAAGAAGTTTTATTTTTTTTAGTGTGAACCTATTATTAGAAAGAGCAACAAAGAAAAGGCGCTAATGTGGCGAGCTAGTAGAAGTGACTAGTGGGTTCTTTTCTTTTCATTTAGAGTATCCTCCATTAATTTGATATATACCAAACCTTATGCACTTTTTAAATTGTATGATATAAGTTACTGCTTTAGAAGAACTTAATTTTAATATTAAAGGAATTTAATTTTACTTGGAATAGTTTTCTACATATGGTTGGAAACTTGCAATTCATATTTTTATATTAGCATTTAAATAGGTAGTCATTGAGCCATAAAGTTGTGCAATTTATCCTTTTTATGTGCTAATGAAGACCTATATTAATAATTAAAAAACTTAATATTGCAAAAGAAACTCTTTTCCCTCTAACATGTCTTAAAATTAAAAAATTGTAAAAATTTAAAACTGATAGATAAAATGAAATTTTTATATATAAAAAGATTATATACCTCAACACAAAGCTCATGAATTTGTTACTCCCTAAGTAAAGATGATTGAGCCCCATAACCATTGAAAACTATAATACTGCAAAATGTCAAAATCATTTATGACACTATGTCTTAATCAATTATGCACTATGACTTTCAAAATGTGGCAACACCCAATTGACATCAATAGCTAGCTCTTGTCATCTACATGACACCAATCTTGGCTAACAAGCAATAGTAAGATATACCAAACCTTCAAGGTCAGGATCCTTGGAGGAAAAACCAATTGTTAGAAAATTGAGGAGTATGAAACCGCCAATGACTAGCTTTAGAGGATGCCATGTGGAAAAAGCTCCAAACATATAATTTTGCTTCGTCTCTATGAAAGATTCGCTAGTAAATCTCTTGCCAGAATTTGGATATTCTAAGGAAAAGAAATATCAAATGTTTAGACCAAGGTGCAAATACTTATTCTAAATCAGAAATTTAGACTTATTAAAAGTGAAATGGGAGGAAATAATTGAGACCTAACTTACATAATAATAAAAATATATATGCATCACCAAAATATTAAATCCTGATGCTATATTAAAAATTTGAAAGCAAGAAGGCTGGCACATGCCATATAGCAATAGGAGCACCAAAAAGTAAAAAACGCAGACTACATCAATAAAATATATCAGCCTCGTATATGCCAGTGTAGGCAAGTTAAAAAGAAGGGATATTGATGGCAAGCTTTATTTCGGTGAGGAGAGGGAGATAAAACAAAGAAACTCTTTGAACATCAAAATCCACTGCATCAAACAGTAAAAAGTTATCCTCCACATATTACTTGCACCAAGTAGGCTATACTTCCAACATGCTAAGATTTATATCATCGATTTAGGCATGAAATGAAGAAACAACAATCGACCAAGGGCAGAATTGATGCAGTAACCATGTGAACTTTGTAATTTATGATGCTGCAATTAGAAAAAATGAAATGGCCTATTCGAGGTATATTACTGCACACCATAAGTTCTTTCTCACAGAATTCCAATTTGGACAGATGTTTAGTTTAATCATGTGCCAGTATGCTCTAAGTTCTAAATAAATTGTGCAAGCCTTTGTTGTAAGGCCAATAGTGCTCCAACCTAAAATGATGCTTCACCTTAAGTTTAGCCATAGCTTCTACGTAGTAAACTTCATAATCTCATGAGATAATCCTCATATACTTTGGTAATGAAACAAATTGGAAAAAAAAAAAAAGTAAAAACAAAGCAATAAAATAGTATTGTCTTTTGCACCCAGAAACACAAACATATATTTTTCTTTCCCATTGGGTCCTGTATAGAACCACCTGGCTTTTATTTCTTTTTGTTTTGATTCAAAGTTTTCCATTCTTCATAGAAAGGTTGTGGACTGAAACCATGAGCTTGGCCTGCAATTAACTCTTCCAAATGCACCAATTGAGCTAACTCTACATAGTTACTTAATTGGCCTGTTTAATAAATTAAGATAAGGTTTTTTTTTTCTTTCTTTCTTTCTTTCTTTATTTATCTATCTATGTTATGGAGCTGTATTGCAAGACTGGATGGGGGACCCATTATTTCCAATTCTTATAATTGTTTTTCTAACATTTATGATAAGCTACAAACGTTTGCAGCCTGTTCATGCCTTTGAAATATTCACAAACTTCCATAAACGCTAACCATCAGCTGCAATTTAAAAGAGACAGATACATACAAATACCATAAATAAAAAGAAGAAGAAAATACAGTAGACTTCTAAATCATAAGCTATTTGTTTATCCAAATATAACTGTAAAAGAGGGCCAAAATCAATACCCATCAAAGAGGAGGAGCATAAATAGCATATATAAAAATCAAGAAAAGGAGAAACAATAAATTTGAAAAAATATTATCGAAGCGTACCTGGTTGTCCTCCAGGTTTAGCCATGGGAAATACAAATGCAAGCCACCATGAATCAAAAAGAAGAAAAAATTGAAATTAAAGATAATGATGAGCCAGTGAAATATATGATACATTAGTGCAAGGGACCCACAAAGCATTTGAGAAGAGGAAAGAGGAAAGGGCAAGAAGAAAAGGAAATTCTGAGAAGGCCAATAAGGAAGAATGTGAGAGCCCTACTAGAGACTGTGCAAGTGTTATTGGTGGAATAAGAATGAGAATCCCACTAATTAATGCTTCTTATCTACACTCTTCTTTTGGGTTTTCATAAAAAATTAAAATTAAAATTAAAGTTAAATAAAATCCTTTCATCGAAGCAGATGCCTTTGCCAATTTGCCATCGCATACAATACTGTATACAATACGGCAAGCAAAGCTTTCTTTGGTGTTGGCGTCTGGTGAGGGATGCACAGACATAGACCATATTGCTGCCTCAATGGCTGACATCTTATGCTGGTTTTTGCTGCGTCTTCACGGACACCCCCAAGGTTTGATAAAATTAATCAAATGGTCCATTTTATTTAGTAAAATTATTACAACATCCCTAAAATTTATTTCTATCTCACTATAATATCATTAGTATCATTAGTAAAAACTAGGTTTTTAGGGCCGGGCGATGTTACGAGTCATCTTTATATTATATTAAAATATGATGTAACTAACACAACTGGGTAAAAATAAATTTTGGTCATATTTATCTTCATGGGCTTCAAAGTAATAACTTACACGGTGCACTTATAATAATTTACAAAGTAGTTGTACAATGCATTCACAAAATGATTTTTATTATACTAACTTTACAATAATTTCTTAATTTACAATAATTTATATAATACATTTTTGATAATACATTTATAAGAACCTATTATTAATTATTTTCTATCTGTATCAACTTTCCATGCATGTGCAACATTCTCTCGCTTGGTTTCATTTGAATCAAGATTTTAATTGCTTACCTATTAACATCTCTACCTGCTTACCAAGCCGGACAACTTGCACACAGAATTTTGATTGGAATAACCTTCATTTTGGGGTCAGAATAGAATTTCTTATGGAGCTCATTCGGCTTCATGATACAGTTAAAGATGTTAATAGGTAAGCAGTTAATTCGTCTCTCATATTTACTCTCCTAGAAAACAATAATGGCACAAACAAAGAATAAAAAAATTTTATCATCATCTACTCACAAAAGTACACTCAAGACTATTATAAAAATATATCCAAAATAGACAGTATTAAAAGGAAAAATTGAATAATAGGTTTCCAACTTTTGTAATAATCAAACACATCGAAACTAATAAAAAAAATTACTATCAAGAAGAAACACAAAAATTATTAGGATTATCAGGATTCAAATGTGCATAGAGTGCAGAAAAAGGACAGAAATGCAACGTTAGTTACCTCATAGCCCTAAGAATTGGAGCTGAGTTTCATTTTAGCTACATATTAGTGAATTGAAAAAAGATGGCGAGAATAGCAAGTATGTGTGATTCTTGAAGTTGATTGATTTTATAGAGAAACAATTAGGAAATATGTAAATAATTTATTATGACTTTACATGTGGCAAACATGCAAAAGGTAAGAAACATGGCAATTATATACATTTGATGTACATGTAAAGGATAACAAATATGGTAATTGAACATTTGGCAAGCATGCATAGCATTTGTTAGAATTTTACGCACTTAGTAAACATGCAAAAGTTGAGAAAGAGTAAAATGAAACATGTGGCAAGTATGCATTACACTGTGCACAACTTACATGTGGTAAGTATGCAATAGGTAAAAGTGCAGCATTTACATTTGACAAGCATACAAAAAGCTAAAAATATGGTGATTGTGAAAATTTTGACATCCAAGCAATAAATATTTTAAAAGTTAAAGCTTGAATTATTGGGAAAAAAAATGAAAAAATTAGCAAAGAAATATATAATCATAGTAGGAGAAGTAACCTTTTTTGGATTTAATTTTCAAACTATTTGAAACATTTTTCCTCTCAAAGGAAAAATCTATATAGGCAAATATTCATACAATTAAATGAAAATACAAACAAAAAATTTATAGTTTGAGATAAAATCAAATTGATTTCTTAAGAAATCAAACATAATTCAACAATAATCTAATTTAAAAAAAAAAATCAAATTGAATTCAAATGATAATATTTAATTCTAAAATTAAGCCCCCAAGCATAAAAAAAAATACTAAAAGATTGTTGAAATATGAATAAAATATAAATCAAACCAAGAAGATCAGACCATGAGATTGCCAACACATCAATAAGAATATTAAAACACGAATGTGAATTATTTGTACCAAATTGTGAACCATAATTAATTACCTTAGTTCAAATTGGCTAATGATATTTCTTCTTGTACTAAGCAGTGAATAAGCATCTTAAGGCAGGGGAGACGGTTTTTTTATGATCTTGCACAATCTACAAAATGCAAAAGTTATGGGACAAGGCTTAAAAAAACTATAAAAAAATAAATACAAGATTATGAGAGCAAGAGACTAAATTGATTAATTATAAATTAAAAGCAAAACCTCAATTGGAATATATGTCGGATGCTTCGGCTTGCCAACATTGATGCATGGAAGATCAGTAGAATAACACGACCATATTCGATGATCATTGACAAAATAATCATGAATAATTAATTCAGGTGGCTGATCAATATCTTTCTATTCTAATTCAAACCTACAAAAGTAAACTATTTAAAATATTACATAATGCCTGAATTAAAAACTTAACATTCTATCATTTAAAAACACATACATAATTACAATTTTCTTATTAAAATTTGTCAACCATAGCAAAAAAGCCTTCCAATTGTACATAATTGTGTTTTTCATATCTCTATGTTAAAGTTTTGCCTATTTAAAATTCTAAAGACACTATGAAACTACTATAAAAGATATTAACATGAAAATATTTAAGAAATGAAATGAAAACAAATCAAAGCATTAATTGATCAAATTTAAAATTAATTTCACTTTAAGATAAAAAATTAAAGATATCAACCAGAAATATCCTTTGTTGTCATAAATACTATTCAATAAGCTTTCCAGACTTGCCTAATTATTTAATTAAAAAATTAAAACACTGAATAATAATCAGTTACTTTGGCATCAAAAAGTAAAGAAGCATCTTAAGACTGGAGAGACAACTTTTTATGATCTTGTACAATCTATAAAATGCAAAAGTGTAATCATTAAAAGCAAACCAATACTTACATAGATAATAGATAGATTATACAAAAAGAAATATAAAAACTAAACCTGAAAGTCCTTTGCAAATGGTTCCACACTGATCTTTCTATATCCCATCGGAGAGACTTATTAATTTCACAGTAGCATTCAACCTAAGTCAAAAATAAAAGCATGATGCCAAAAAGCTGAATGAAAGACCTCATAATTTTATTTTTGAAACATTTGAATTTTTATTAAATCAAAAATCAAGATTTTAACTATGTGGGCTGCAAGTACTGTATAACCTTAAACTGCGTCCAAATTCGTGAGTTGGGCCTAAGCCCAAAGTTTAGTGTCGCAGCTCCTAACCAAGAATTTTCTAAATTTCTTAAGAATTACATTGGACGTTAAATATTAAATCAATTAAAAATAAATCAACCGGACCTATAAACCAGTTTGAATTTTTCAAAAACCAAGTGAAAAACCCATAAACCAAGCAAAAATCGAACCAAAACCATTGAATCAAATCAAACCGGTTTGAATCGAACTGAAATGGCCTAGAAAGCTCTAGAACCTGCTTTCCTTTTATTTTTCTTCTCCTTCCTTGGGCCAGCGCGTTTTTCCTCCTCCCTCCCCGTTTTCCGACCACCGCACGACGAGAGCGAGTGGCGATCGGTTCCCAAAGCCTCGCCGATCATTTTTCCGGCCTCCTTTCATGCGGAAAGAGTCCCTAACGGCGCGAAATGGGACTGTCACCTCCGATAGTTTCCAACCTTTGATTTTCGACAATTTAGCTTGATTCAAGCGACTGATGGCCTCAAGGTGAGCTCCAATCAGTTCCCCCCTCTTGTGCGAACATTTTCCATCCAAGAATCGACGGATTTGGTGGAAGGAATTGAAACCACCATGGACGGTGGTGTGGAGATGGCTGTGGCGGTCGATCCGGCCTGGTGGAAGGAATTGAAACCACCATGGACGGTGGTGTGGAGATGGCTGTGGCGGTCGATCCGGCCAAAGGAGCCACTATCTCCTCAAAACGACACCAAATTCAGCTTCTACGAGTGATTTGGAGCATTTTGGTGTAAGTATTGCAAAATTCTGGATTGTTTGGGATTTTCCGACAACCTTGCACGGCGGGCCAGCGGCGGCTGTCCGGCGAGCCTCCGGCGAGGCACTAAGAGATAGAATCTTCCTCTCCTAGCATGGATTATGGAATCGTCGCCCGAATCTCGATTGGTACGCTCTAAGACCCAATTCCAAATTTTTAGTATAAATTTCAAGCTTAAATTTACTGGGTAATTTAGTTAATTTCAAATAGATAGTTAATTGTGGGACTTTGAAATATTAGGCTTTGAAGTTGTGAATTAGTTGGAGAATTTAGGAGGATTTAAATGTAGGTTTTAGTGACTAGAATTTGGAATTTTATTAGATGCATTTAAGTGTATATTTGAACTAACTAGCATTAAAAAGATAGTTAGGATTATTATTAGTATGATTTAAAATTGATAGAAGTTTTGGTTATACACATGTATATAACAACTTGAATTAGTTACTTTATAACATGGAATATGAACCTAGTAGCAAGTGGTTGGCTATCTATTAGCTAAATTGCAAATTAGTTGTTATTTGAAAAATATATGGATACTTTAAACTAGTAGGATGTGGAGATTAGGTAAATGTTTATATTCATTCATTAGTTACCTTATGAATCGGCTTAACTTTAGATAGTAGGGTAAGGCAGTTTTTGTGTTAGTAGTAAATGGCCAATAATGATGCTTAAGCTTGGATTATTAATAACTAAAGTTTTGTATTGTGATTAGATATTTATACTATTACTTGATATGGAGGAAGGGAAATTAGTTTGGTTGATTACCCGTCGGATGGACTGTATGAATGGAATAAGTGTTTAGATGAATGAATAATGCTTATGGCGGATGGGATTAGTTGTTGTGAATTGCTCGATGGATAGACTTTGAGAATTTATTGTTGAATTGTGGTATAATCAAATTTTAGGAGAGGTTCTGCCGAAATCTCGATAGAATCTAGGCTAATCACATACAATAAATAAGTTAATATGTTTCTTTAGATTAATTCTATACTTTGAAATATTTAAAATGAAGTTCTTTATTTACTTATATTATTTATTTATTTATCTATTTATGTTTCAAGAACCAATTATTATATTATGTTATTATCTAATGCTCTCATATTTATTTGAATTGGCATATGAATGTTTATTTAAGCCCTTGCAAGCTGGTGTTTAATTACTTGATATGCTTGCATTTAATTGCAAAGCTTGATTATTTGTGTTGTGATAATGTTATGCCTTGTTTGTATGGAGTTGGGATGAAGTGAGTCAT